GATGGGGCGGCGGGGGGGTCCAGGAGGGCCGTCAGGGGCAAGAAGCGGAGGGGGGGTCGTCGGATGGGGGCAGGGCCACACTTGCCTGTTTGGGGAGGCACAGCCTCCCCTAACTGGCCCTCCATACAATTTTTGAAACCCGATGCGGCCCTCAGGCCAAAAAGTTTGCCCGCCCCGGTCTATAGGAATGAGTCTCTGGTTTAGGTATGAGGGAGTCTGGGCAAACATTCACAGTGGTGGTGAAAATTTAGGCCAAAGTATAATTACAGTCGGTAGAAATAGCAGCAGTTGAAGAAAATAACCTTTGATTCAAAAGGATGGTGACAGATAAAGCAATACAGCTATTAAAAAATAACTTAAATAGTCCATTTGATGGTCCTGTTAGTATTTGCTCGTGAATATTAGCCCTTTTAGTCCTTTTCTTTTTTGTATATTGATTCATTTACATATTAACTATTCTTTAGAATCTTTGTTAATATCATAAAAAGTATGTGGAATTCTAAGGCCCAGAATACTGGTCCTTGACCTATAAGTAACCCTATTCATGATTCTATGCATTAGGATGTATCTAATAATCCGTGATGCTTCCATGTCTATAAAACTCCAAATATTCTTGGAAACCATTCCTTTTAAAAAAAATGTTATAATATAATATAATGCTTACATAAGCATATATAAAATGGATTGATGAGGGATGACTGTTACAGCAGATGTTTCCTATTGGGGAATCAACAGGGAAGAATGCTTATGGGGGAAGAAGAACTCACTGAGATATTATCTTAAAGAATGTTGGTCCTCAGCTGTAAAAAATTATGCCTTCACACATAAATCAGGTAAACTAAGAATGTACAGATATTAAAGGAAATCCCATCAGAACATAAGAAATGACATCAGAACACAGTTCTGGGAGGTTGTTTTTGGCAAAGAGGGGTTATGGCCTAAAATCCCTATATAACAACAGAAATTTTGGAACTTAGGTGAGGAATGAAACTGTGCATCCCACCAGTTACAGTGAAGAAGAGACACAGCATCAGATCTTTACCTTACAGCTAGGGTAGTAATGTATCTATTATTTCTGTATTCTGTACAGTGCTGTACTAATCTCTGATTCAGGGCCGGCTCCAGGCACCAGCCCACCAAGCACGTGCTTGGGGTGGCACCTTGGGGCGGGGCAGCGCTCGGGCGTTTATTTATTTAATTTATTTTTTTTTGGTTCGTAGGGGCTGCGCTGGAGGGTTTTTTTTTGTTTCTGCGGTGCGGTGCTCGGGGGGGGGGCTTCAGGCAGCGTGGCGCTCGGGAAGGGGCGGGGGTTGGCGCGGCGCTCGGAGGGGTGGCGGGGGCTTGGCACAGTGCTCGGATGCGGAGGCTTGGCATGGCACGGCGCTTGGAGGAGGAGCGGGGGCTTAGGGTGGCGCGGCGCTCAGGGGTGTAGGGGCTGGTCTGGCACTCGA